TAGTTTTTTTTTTTTTTTTTTTCTTTCTTTTTTTTTTCTCTTCTTTTGAATTCTAAAACATGTGCATGTGCTGATCGAAACTTTTAGATACAAAGATTCGATTTCGAAAAGTACGAGAGGTTTGAAGGAGAAGTTGTTTTCTCGAAACTCATCCATGGCTGATATCGGGTCTGAGGTTCGGAGAGAAGTGAATGCTGGAATCGCCACTTTGTCCCGCATGATGGAGCGTCTTGAAACTAAGGATGGTAATGGGGATATTCCTCGATCGAGTGGAAATACTAATGCTGCTTCATTTTCTGCAAGTTCAAGTTGAAATCGAGTTATGTGATGATGAAGAGTGTGCACCCTCTGAATTTCATCTTTGAAGGTAAGATTTCTATTTTTGAACTATCCAAGGTTATTTGTTATTTTATTTTATTTTTTTCTTAAATTTTGTGTAATTTGTCTTGACAAGATACGGTGCATTAAGATCTTGTTTCCAAGTCACGATTTTTTGTTAATCAACCAATGTCTAACTGCTCTTCTAGCTTGTGCATTCAAATAGTAATCGAGTTTCATTTATTTCTTTTTATGTCTCTAAGATCATGTGAAAAATTGATTGGTGATTATTGTCACCATAGCCACTCGTGTGGTTAATTGTTGGTAAATATTTTCTGTAGATTGTTGTAGTTGATTCTCGAACAATTTTATTTATTGAATTCAACTGAGTCGAATGAACACGAACAATTTTTCATTTTTCAGGCGTTTGTTGCTCCTCTTCAAGATTGGCATGCTGAGGATGAGACTTTTACAGTTCACCAGACTTAAAGTCAATGAACACGAACAAAACATTTGTAGAAAAACACTTGGGGAAAGACTTTATGTCTTATCTTTTATCTCTGCCTGTACATAAAGTCAATAATAACAAACACTGGATCCAAAGCATCAAAACGGTGAGACTTTCATGGTATTAGAGATTGGCTGAGTTATCTATTTATATGAATTTGGTGCAACTAAGCTTGCAATTAATTTAATTATCTGTTCATACTATGTGAGATGGTTAGAGTTGTTCAACTATGAATTTGGCCTTGAGCACTCGACTTTAATTCTGGATCTTATGACTAAATTTGTATCTGTTTAGGTTTCATAGGTACTTTCAGCTTTTACTAGAAACAAATGCCTCTTATTCTGCTGTTTCGGACAGTGTCGGGCAAGATAAATAAGGTACATGCAATAGTCGTATAGTTTTGGTGTGCGTTCGATTAGATTGAAAGTACATGACATGAAACTAATATTCAGAGTAGAATAATTAGTTCTTGTGTTTTTCGACTTGAAGAACAAATGACAAGTTGTGGAACTGTGTTTTTCTTTTAGCAGCAGAATAACTAGACCAAATTCTATAGGACTGGCCAAAAGAAAC